GCTTTTACAAATGACCTCTCATTTGGTGGTGTCCTTAAGCAATGAAATGTGGGGCTGCTCATGAATAGCAGCAACGATACACACACACATTAACAGAGTGAAGTCAAATAGGTAACATGTGAGAACACACAAAGATACATGCACACTGCTGTCACAGTGAAAGATAGTTATGAAACCCGAGTAGACAACGCTTGCTTCATGCCAATTAAACACTGGCACGGCTGGAATACATGGTAACATACACAGAAACCGAGAGTGGAGAAAAGTTGTAATGACACAGCAAGAGAGGAGGGATTAGGAACAAAAACATGGAAAAAAAACGTGAAAAAACAAAAAAGCGAGGAAAGTGCCGCTGTTGAAGGGCACAGACAGGCTGTTATAAAGTTATGTCATTGCACCAATCTTAGAATATTTTCTTTATAATCCTGAGACATATGTTTACATTTTTGTTGTTTAGATCTCTTAAGGTGGAGACTCCACAGACCTATGAGCTCATACAGATTATGAAAAGATATTTAACACACAAGAGTGAAAAAAAGTCAGACAGGTTTTAATGTGAACTTTAAGAAATTTTAGTTTTTCTTTTTTAAATCCTAAAACTGTTTTAAACACAGATAGCTCTGATCAAACAAGGTGTATTTGTATAACCATAAATGAATTATCTGTGAGAGAAATGTAACTCATTTAAATGTCAGTATGTTGTTTGATTGAAAGTCATGTGGTGATAAGCCCCAGTGACATTTTTTACAATTATTCTTATCAGATCAGGTTTAAATACTGAAACGCGTTCACAGAAAATAGTTTTTTTTTAAGCTGATTGTGGAGTATGAAAGAATTATGCACTCAACACAATTACACACACTTTACTAATGAAAAAGTTACATGATGCAAACTGAAGGATTCAATATTTTTTTAAACGTAACGAATGAATATGAGAAGAAGAAAAAAAAAACTTCCCAGCCTGAGTTTTGCTACTTTATTTGGCAAAAACAAAAGAAAAAAATCTCTGACCTAACTGTTGGATTTAATGGCTGGAAAATGTGTGTGTACTGATGTTCCACTGACCTCTTTTTCTTACAAAATCAATTAAGATGGCAAAAATAAAACCAGAAATTTTGATCATATTTCGCATAAATGTCTCTTCCATCAGGTTCACCTTCACTGAACTCCAGACATTACACCTAGTTTGAAGGAACAATAATCAGAAGCTCCACTGGTCAATGTTTTGAAATGTTACAAATGTTCTGTTGTTTCGCATGATTGAAATCAAAAGAGAATTAACACGAGAATATAGATTCCACATTTCCATATCCTTCGTACTTGAATCCACGAAGTAAATACTGAAGGTTCATTATTGAACTTGAAAATACCGTTTAACCAAAAAAGCATCTTCGTCTTTAGTTCCTTTTGTATCGTGTGGCAAATCTTGGGTTAGCTCAGATCAATCTTAAAGATCACATTAGATCAGATTATTGAATAAGAATGAGCTGTAGATTTACCACACACTGACAGCCTAACAAAAATTCTTAACTTATATTATTCAAACTGTAGAATTCGCTTCATTGTAGTGACGTTTGCTGGGGTTTGTTGGTTATCAAATCAGCCTTAGAGACTGTGTGGCTACAGCTAGACCTTCCCTACATTAGGTCAGACATTCTTACAGCAGAATTTTGCAGTTATCTGTAAAGACATGAATTTAGTTTGAATAATTTTGCCATTATCACATTAAAATCCAAATTTCTACCATTGGGATACCTTTGGAATGAGGGGCCTGAGCTTTCTCTTTGGCTGGCAACCCATACCCTGAAGCACAGCCCGTTCTCACTCCCAAGGCGTAACATCCCGACGATTGGTCAAGTCCTGCGGCGTTCCTGAGGAACGCGAAAGGTGACCTTCCGCGTTCTTATGCTACGTGCCGAGTTATGGGTGAAATCCAGTACAATCACGGTCCTGAGGTAATACACGTTCCAGCCATGTATTCTAGCCCTAACCCCAACCTTGTCCCTAATGCTAACCATAACCTTATCCCTAGCCTTAACCATCACTATAATGACGTTAAACAGTGTTTTCCAAAGGATTTAAGTAAAATGAACGAAGACGTGTAGATTGATTCCAAACGGTTTTCATGTTTCCTCGTTTTTCCGATTTCATCATTTAGGGACGTGTTAGGTGCCTGGAAGCGTAATATGTTGACGAATTGTCACCTAGCATAAAATATTAGTTTTTGGGAGTGAGAACATGTTGTGAAGCAAGACCCCTGCAGCAAAGATTGGGTTAGGGTTGTAGGACATTACATCATATGAAATGTGGTTGTGAATGGTTACCTGTATTCAGTAGCAGATGACCTGTCTAGTGTATCCCATGATTCACTGTACATGGGATACTCATGGGACCCCCATGGCCCTCAACTGGACAAGCGGTTAAGAAAATGTATTTATGCATATATGTATTTATGCATGTATGTATTTATGTATGGATGGATGGATGGAAGATTGCAAAACAGTTCACTAAGCAACTCGAGCTGCATTGCATCAGACACAATAACATGCCTCACGTCATTTACCAAACACAACCTCCCAGTTTGGCAAGCTATTTTGACCATGCTGTTTTGACCCTGATGGATGAACCAAACCATCCATTTGTAGGCTTTGATGGGATGTTTACTTGTCACTCCTCAATTTGTATATCGTATTGGAGTGATGAGCTCTGGTGCCTGGACACCGAACTCTAGCCGTAGTCTTCTGCTGTAACGAAAGACTCATTTCAGATGTGACTTGTCTGGCTGAACTAACATATGGAAGCCGTAATTAAAATCATCTGGTGTATTTACCCTTAGCAGGCAGATGTTACCGTAAGTTATACAGTTTTTGCATCAGTCATCAAAAAAAGTCTTGGAGCGATATTTTAAATAACTTCTCATGTTTCTGTTATTAGTGCAACAAGTACCATGTGTGGCACGAAGATCACAGCGAGTCAGAGAAATTAAAGACAAATGAACTGAATAAGAAGAGAAGAGGAAAGAGATGAGAGCAAAAAGGAGGGTAAACATGGATAGAGATGTAAAACCTTTTTTGGCCGAGGTGACTGAGAGCTAACAACAAACAAATGGGGCTAAAGAGCTAAAACCAATGACAGAGCAGAGTGATTGAGTTTTCATTCTGTATGTAGAGTCTAAATTTAACCCACAATTGTTTCCAGGCTCAGGAGAAATGGCATCCCACCCACATGTGAAGCAGACACGAGATCATGGGTCTCATTCAGTTTCAGTTGTCATCAATCAGCTTGGGCTGTGTCCCCTGCCAGCATTACATCATGGCATACCTATTTTGATTTTAACAAGCCAGAGAAGTCATTTGGTGCACTGGCAGCGAGAGTCATACCACGTCGGGACTAATCAGTTCTGCACAAATTGGAGGAAGAACATTCAGAGCTGCTTAAAAGCCCTCGGCAATATTCCCACAATGTAAAATCATGTTTGCATGCTAGGGTCACTTGTGCTTAATCACACTACAAGCATCCACTGGCTCAGATGTGCTGTTGTTAAAGATCTTTTGGGGCATTAAGGTCCACCCAAAGGGATTAATTATACTATGATGTAAAGTTCTCATGTTCTTGCATGTTTTTAATGTATTCTCTTGATATATATGGTACATTTTATTTTGCAAAGGTCACACTGGCTGTACAGTACAATGCAAAAGCTCTAGGTTCTCAGAGGGATCTGACTGTTCACCCATACAGCCATAATGATAATAATGAAAAGCAAGCCGCAGTTACATGAAGAACAAGGAGTTTTGCAACAGTTGGTGCAGCTTCTATAGAGCCACAGTCTCAATATAATGAAGTCATGGGGTATTACGTGATCACAGAAGACAATGTAGCAGAATAACTCTACAGAAGAGCTTTGGGAAGATGTTTAGCAAGTTCAGCAAATTCAGTAAGTGTACCAAGCCATTCTCGCTAATGCTTTTATGTTCTATGTTTTTACATTATTATGATGTGTCATATTTTAATTTCAGCACTTTGTGATTTTTATCTGTGAAAGGTACTATAAAATGCATTTTACTTACTTAGTTACTTGCTGACTGAATCTATCAGCACATATTTCCAAAGAATTTAAACCAAATGACCTGTTTGAGTGTTGCGTGTCAGTTTAGAGGTCTTCTTTCAAGTTTTTAATAAAGTATTAATGTTTTCTCTATTCTCTATTAATGCTATACTCCAACTGTTCTTCTTCATTCCTATTCATATTTTGCTGATGAGAACAAACAACATCTTTTTGCTCACCTTCTAATATTGTGAGGTTCTTCAGAGCCATGGAGTGCTCCCAGTCCTTCAAACGGAGGTCCTCTGTGATTGTGTTCAGGATCTCCATCTCATTCCTCAACTGGGCCTCCGTGTGGACGTGGGTCACCCATAAACTGCTGGTGTCCTCTGTTATGTTGCTGATCTGGATCTGAATGTGGGACGTTTATGACTCAGTTTATGAAAAGTAGATCTGATGTAGAGGTAACTTTTGTGCAAGCTATTATGAACATCTAACCTGTAAGTCACGTATCTTCAAATGGTGAATACTGACATCGTTGCTGAAGGTGTGGTTGACAGCTCCCACTGTCCAGTTGACCTCGTCTAATTTTTCCCTCAGTTCACTCACATGACTCGAGGTTTCCCTAAAGTAAATCAGAATCCCACAGAAGTCCATTTGAATGTTATTAAATGCAGTAGACTACAAAAACTGTATTAAACGTGTACCTCAGCAGGACGTCGTGATCACGAAGCCACGTGGATGCTTGAGCCACCTCCGAACTCAAGCTCGTCAGGTTCCGACCCGCGGAGCTGCTTAGCGAGGACAACCTGTCATCCAACTGCACCAGGTAGCCTTCTGACTGTAGAGAGTGAGCCTGCATGCTCCTCAGCTCCACCTCCAAGCCCTGCAAGGAAAAGGACTCTGACTAATGGTAGTATTTCTATCATCAGCCTTTATTTTTCAACCTTAAACTTAAATTAATTAAGCATTGTTGGTTTGTTGCCCTTCAATGCTCCCCCTTTGGCACTTCTCTTTTCACCAGCTAGCCAGTTTGCAGAAGCCCCTGACTGAGCCATGGCCTCAGAACAGTGGCCGTACCAATGCAACCCCACTGGCAGCTGAAGGTTGAGAAAGGGTTGCAGTAGAGATTCTTAAAAGAACTCTGCAACACATCTGGTGTCAACATCAGAGGCATCAAAAAAGAAATGTTTTTGCTAAATCACTGTCTAGATAGATCAGACAGAGGAGATCCATAAGCAAAAAAAAGGTCAAGTACCACCAACTGTTGTGCCTACAGTGAACCCAATCAAGTGAGCTACAGATCCCGGGCCAGTCAGTTAAGCTCCTGCTAACAGCAGAGGTGTGGAATAGAAGAGCCCTAAAGAGTATTCTTAAAAACACTACAGGGTGGCTGGGCATCTGTTCTTTGGTCAAATGCGGGAGACGAGCTTGTCTCTAACGATCAAAGCACCAAAACACTCAATGATGCCTGGGGTGAACCATTTCTGAGTATTCCTGTTTAAATTGGGCCACCTTCATTAATCACACGTTCCTCTATAAACATTTAAGATACAATAAAATGGGGCATCCAGATATCTTGTGTTGTACCTTGATGAAGATCTCCAGCCTCTGCAGCCAGTTGCTGTGGTTCTGGAAGAGGTTTTCCAGTTTCCAGATGTTCTCCAGCAGGTCAGCTTGTTTGGACTCCTCTCCCAGGGTCTGCTGGAGCAGCTGGGAGCGCTCTGACATCCGGGTCGCATTCTCCGTCAGCACCTCCTGCCGCAGAGAAGACACCTGGGAGCGAGAGACTGGGGAGGGAAAGAGTGTGGAAGAGAGTCAGAGATTTGTTCTAAGTGTTGAAGTAACGATCCCTCAGCTAAAGCAAAAGTCCCCAAATCGAGTTTCATTTACTATCAATCACGGAGCTCGCCAGCACTGTAATGTAGAGCAGATGTTGAGTCAGGCGCCTGCTGTGATTCTGGTTGTCTATTTATGCTGAATGTATTGTTTGGTTAAGTCAAGACCTAAATAGTTTTACGAGTTTCTTTACTTGGAGTGCATATATAACATGACATTGTGGAAATTCTGCCTTCATTTTGAGTAATGCTGAAGTTGGCTTCTGCATGCCGGTATTTATCCAATGCTTGGAGTTTTGTTTCACAGGTATGATGCATTGACTTCCTATGATAAAAATTCCATTTCAAACATACTTCCCTCCTTCTTAACTGTCTACCTAGTGTTCTGACATCAACACCTACAAGGGTTATATAGTACAAAATTGAGGACGAGAGGACTTTTTTTTGTCATTCTACATTAAATATAAAACCAAAGTGAATCCTTTCTATTAATGAATTTCAATTCTGGAGACATGGTTAAATCTAAGCAGTGGCTGTTTAGCTGTAACATCGCATTTGATGATGGTTAAAGCGCAGAGGAAAATTTCTCGTCTTGCATTTTCTTGTTGCATAAAGGTCACTTCTCAAGCCTCGCTCTCTTCTGTACCGTATCTAATGAGAAAAATCACCATGGTTTTATGTTATGTTGAAAGCATGCTGCATAGTAACAGCTCGATAGCCTGGCAGATATTTTGAAACCAGATCCTCAGCGCTGTGCCACGATGGCAACCTCTTCTCTGCAGGACCAGTGTGTGAAAAACCTTCAAAAGGAGAAAATGGACGAACTGAGGAAATGGGAGGAAGCAGATTATTCCCTTCACACATGTTCCTCGACACGCTAATGCCCCTAACAGCTCGATATCACACACTCTGAATATTCCCGTTACCACGAATCTAAGACAGCAGTGTGTTTCTGCATGTGTGGCTTCATGTTCCTGCATTGTGGCCAGGAATCAGCAGCATGACTTCAGGGAAAGAAAAGTGCTGCAAAGCCGCAGCACTGCAAACAAACCATCTGAATTTCATCTCATTATGTGTGTTAGGTTTATTCCTAATGACCTGAAAAACTAAATAAGCTGCAATCTGTCCACTACACAGGGTGCTTAATTGCTAAATGATGGTCTGTCAGCAGCAGCAGAACCTGACACTATGGAGCGTATCAGGAGTACTTCTACATGAAAACAAAGAAGGGAAAACATGAACAAGAAGCTGTAGGATAAGAAAAAGAAGAGGAGGTAAGAAAGAAAGTGATGAAAAATAGAGCAAAGGAAGAAGGAGAAGGATAATCGCACAGGCTAATCTTGTTTGCAGTTGTGCTTATTGTTTGGGACAGGTACCATGAGTAGAAATGCAAAGCTCAAGTTACACAGTTTGGTTCTCATGATCAGAAAAACGCTTGAATGATGACAGATGTAGAAGTCAGCCAGTTATGGTTCCCCATTTGAAAACACTGAGAATGTTAGAAGAAAAAAATGTTGGTGCAAACACTACAAAGTTACTGTTTGTATCGTCTTAAAACTATTTTGAAAATGTAATCGTTATTATCTTTCAAAGACTATTTTAGACATCGGTCATCTTCACTCTTCTTCCCCTGCCTAAACTAAAAAGCAGTTTCAGACTGTGAAGAGTTTCTCTCTTAACGTTATATACACATCTTAATCTTATACAAGTCTGTACAAAGCCTGATATTTATATGTTATCTACTCTTGAGGTGAAGCTAAAAGCTTGAGGTAACACAGCTTCTCCGGTCACAGCTGGGAAGCTGGGAAATAACCCGTGTTAATAGGTCAGGTCAACAGAGTCGCTGGTGTTTTTAAACCTTTTCTTTACAAGCTATCTGAGAACCTTGCATCACTTTACTGGATTTTTGACTTACTTTTATTTCTTGTTATGTTACTTTAAACTGTGTTTGGCTTTATTTGTCATATTTGCTTAAAGGACCAGAGGGAAAAGGAAGGAGGAAACAATTTATGGTTCTCCACTGACTTTGGTTTGCATGAAGGTGTCTCCTTGCCAATTCCATCTACTGGTAAAACAACTTAAAATTGCTTAAAAGCTGTAGTAAAGTGGGATTAACCACAACAGGATAACTGGAGGTTTTTACATACTTCTAACTGAAAAACTGAGCATTTAAATGGACAGACAGAAACTTGAATATAGTCAAAAGAAAAAAAAAGATGTGAGGATGAAAGAAGAATGGCAAAACTCATTATAACTACATCTGCAACAAGTACGTTGACACTGATGAAACAAATATATATATGCCAGTTTCAGGCTGCTGTGTTTCTATAAATTATGCAAAATCATTTCAACAGTATGAAGCCTATAGAAGGATGTGGCATAAACTTAACATATTGACAAGGGCCTTGGTAGCTTGTACATAGTTTTCATTAGCTGTCAGCTAACTAAATGTAGGGTGCATAAATATTTCTTCTGACATAGCAACAGTTGCATGTTGAGACCAAATGTTTCTGCTCCACTGGGCAGCTTTCAGAGAATGAGGCGCTACAGTCTGTCAGTCACTGTTTACTTCATTCTATGCTGCTTGTGTACATGCCGAGTTTTGAAAGTGTTCTATAAATAAATATTATTATTGCAATTAAACATGATCTGCCAACACATGTTTTGCAGGACCTTGGATGTTGTCTTATGGTTTCAGGCATTATGATGTCACACAAAGAAGGTCCAGGGTTTGAGCTTGCATGTTCTCCCTGTGTGTATGTGGGTTCTCTCTACAGTGCTCATACGATCCAAAGGCATGCATGTTAGGTTAACTGGTGGTTTGGTCTGTGGTCTGTGATATGAGCACAAATGGGTGTCTGTCTCTGTGTGCTGACCCTATACAAGACTGGTGACCTGTCCAGATAATGCCACAGTGTTTTATGGCAGTTGGATGGGTATCTGTCTGACCTGTGGCCCTGTGTTGAGGGAATGGATCCTTCCATTAATGAGCTATGAAAAATATGGCATGAAGATTTCATCAACACCACTGGTTGAGATGCAGACCCAAACAGAGTTTTCACAGTGATATTACACATGGCTGCGGATATTTGGATTCACTGGTCCCTCAGACCTGTTGTCATGGATTTTCAGTCCAGTTTGTAATTTGGTATACCTCAGCGCTTTCTCCCCATTTCCCTTCATGAAGAATGGCTTTTAGAGAGCCATCCTTCCACTGAGACCATCGCTGATGAGGCTTCAGTGAGCAGTAAATGGATTAACTAAAGGTCCAGATGCATGTCTCAGGTCCTTTGTCAGGTGTTTTCTGTCTACCCTTATTAAGCATGTGACTTTTAAATATTGCTCAGTTTTCTAGGATTGATATTTCCTTTTTATCCTCCACTTGTCCAGTTTTCTCAATTTTGTTGGAACACACTGCACACCATGCTGAGATATACCAAGTTCTCAGCTAATAGCTCTTTAGGAATGAACTTGTTGGTCTAAAAGTTTCTATCTGTCAAACTATGTTATCATTGATATTTTTCATAGATACAAATGAGGGGTTTTTGTTACAGGGTGCTAGAAACAAAGTGCCAAAGTTCTTCTGCTTAAAACAAATTCTCACAAAATTAAGCCGTAAATGTCCAAAGAAACAAGAAAAAAAGAAAGACATTAAGAAAACCTGGAGAACTATTGCTCAATACCGCTTGAAAAATTACAATAAAGTCTGGCTCCTTGGAAGTAAAATAGAAAGAAATGAAGGGTGTTTCAAGACTTTTGTATTTGTACATCTCTTTCAGTCATTAACCCCAATCATTAAGGTCCTCTCAGTTTTTAAGGTGTGCATTTGTGACTTCAGGCAAAGCTGATGAGAAATGGCTTGAAAGTTGAGACATACGCCTGACAAATCCATTTCAAAGCTCCTAAAGCTCAGCTCTGTAGGATGGGAAAGTCATCTTGTCTCTTTTCCAACCCCCTTCTATTCTTTGCTGTGTATTTCACACAAGAACACAAGCACACATACACACACACAGTGGCATGGCAGAAATATTCAAAACAGATTAGCCCCATATTCACAGCTTCATGGTCTTTGAGTTCTTCTGTCGAGACACAGAGGAGGCAGACACTTGATCCATTCATGTATCAAATGCTGGGAGCACAGGCCAGCTCAACAGCTGGGCTTCTCTGTGTAATGTGGAAGAGTCCCACTTTGTCAGTATATATGAATGTGCAGATGATCTGAGGTATCATCTGCATTCAGCGAGGTCGGGAAGAACATTTACCAAGCAAACCACCCTGTTCTGAGCAAAAACTGTTTAGATGGTTCGTTAAAAAGAAACAACCAGCGTGAGGTTACAGATGTAACTGTTACCAGTAGAGTACGGCTGTGCAGGTGAATTGGTTTTAAACTCTTTCTCTTTATGTCACGGGTTATACATATGTGAATTTAGTACAGTGTACACATTCCCCTCCTGGCTTTTTACTTTAGGAAAAGATCATGGTCTGGATTAAAATGTCACAAACTGGGAATTATAGAACTGCCTTATTAATGCCATGACCTGGTGCATCCAGGTCCATAGCTAAAGGAGGCCTTGTACATAAATTTACTATACCAGAGGCTTTGAGTTTGGGACACCTCAAGCACCAGTTTAAGTGATGACAGGATTTTGGTAACATTGGTGCACAACACAATCAATATGGTAACCATAAACTAGGTTTCAAAATCCCTAAAAATGTTATTAGCCCTGATCCAGTGATGTACAGGTGCACTATGACATCCCATTTAATGTGCTTATAGGTGCAACAGATGATTTGAAAATAGGCATAAGATAAGATATAAGACTATACTGAGCGTTTATGGGCTCTAAAATATCAAAACCAAACAGATTTAGGGGCGTTCGGATTTTAACAAATTGGTCAAAAATGGAAGTGAAAATAAAAAAAATTAAAAAAAATCACTTGAAGTGGAAAGA